AAAATTGCATGTATTATTAATTTTTATTATATTATTTTTCTATAGGACTTATTAGATCAGTAAGAGAACAATATGATAGCTTATTTTCACTAAAATCTAAATATATTGATATACTTAACAATCATGCAATATAGAATTAATATATAGATATAATAATATTATAATACAGATGTAAGTCATTTAATTTTATCATTAAAAAGTTCTGCAAAATTTTCTTTTTCTATTATTATTATTAATTGGTGGTCTGGCGATCCACCAATTAAATTTTATTTAAAAAATCTGGTACGTGCAGTTGCAACAGCCAAATAATATTTTTAACAAAAAACAAATGAAAACATTCAACAGTTCATTCGGTCTGGACCACTGTTAACAACTCTAATATTATTATCATATGTCTTTTAAATGGGGCATGCTTGCAACAAAACCAGACAAAGTGAACATTTGTTTAACACCACAATTGTATTACAATGCAATGTGATCATGGAGTTGGATCCCACTTTTCTATTATGAATCGTCTCACATCTTTAAGTTTTAACTTCTATCAAATTATTTCTAGTACATAATAATAATAATAAATTGTGATGTGTCACATGATCTCAAGGTGATTCCGCTTCTTCAAACAATTAACTCTCCTATGAGCCACATCGCCCATTTCATACAACTTATTAATAATATTGAAATAGTTATTTGAGAATGGAGTGTTAGCAATCTGGTATATTTATTAGGTAAATGTATCTAATTTATTCTTATAACATAATTAAAAAAAGCAAGTAAAATTCAACCATATTGTGAATTTTAAAAGCAAATTACTCGACAGCTAATTGCCAGATTCAGTTAGAAAATGATTTAAAAAAGCAAAAGCTTTGTTTGAAAATTTATTTGATGAATTTTTAGTGATAAAAATTATAAAAAATTTCTTTACAAGAGTAATTTCCGACTTTTTTGCAAACAAATCTGTAGATTTTTCTATATAAACTTGGACCTTGTCATGTTCTGCTACTTGTTAAAAAAATAGCCTTGTGTTGGATCCAAGAAACAAGTTGCTGGAACTTCTCTTGAAGCAATAAATAATCCTCTTAGATACTCTCAAGTTAATCTCTACACGATTCTTCAACACTGTCATAGTTATAAAGATCCACCACTATATCGAGGTAACCCTTACACCATTTACAATGAGAGATATCTTGAAGAGCATGTAGTACTGGAATTAGTAAAAGAGGCAAAAAAACTTGATCCTTATTTCCCAAAGGAAAAATTATTACAATCAAATCTGCAATTACTATGGGTGTCAAAGCATCAATTTTTAGATGCATCTTGCTAAATTGCAAAGGGGAGGAGCCTATTTGTCTTTATTCACCAAAAGGTACAGAACATCC